AATACGTCCGGTTTTTCAAAGGAACTCAAACTAAGTCCTCAGTAATGTTCTCAAATTTAAGATGATAAACCTAAGAGTTTGAAAATAATAGCTGATGGAATGAGACTTCCAAAGAGTACAACAGAATCCTATGTGAAAGTTAGATTCTGGAAGAGTCATTGAAAGTTAATCATGCAACAAGGAATTGAAAGGGAGGCAAAAAAACAAACAAAAACAACCCAAAAACCCGTGAGGACCCAGGCAGAGGCAATGGCAGGGGTGGAGGCCACGGGAGAACAACAGCAGGCCATGTGTGTGGGGGGCCACGTGTGCTTAGCAACAAGGTCAGGTGACTCCACTGGGGGCAGTTTCAGTGGAGCTGGGAGCCATAAGGCAATGCTTGGAGGCAAATGGATAGGCAAAGAATTGGTGACTTTTTTAAAAAGCCTGACCAGAAGGGGAGGCGCAAGAAGGCAATACTGGATGAGGACTGTGGGGATGAAATGCCTTTTTTGAATGGAAGGTATTTCAGTACGTGTAAAGGCTGAGGAAAAGGCGTCAGGAGAGGGGAGGTCTGGATGGCACAGGACAGAAAGCTTTACTCAAGTGGTAAGGTACCCAGCACGGGAATAAATGGGTAGGTCCTGGACCACAGAAAAGGCACCTCTCCACTGTGACAAGAGACCCAAGGGAATGACTGGGGTCCAGGCAGCCATGTTCAGAGCACGGCAGCGGGCTGTGAAGAGTTCATGACTATTGGTTTGTATTTCTTAGTGGAGAAAAGGATGATGGCATCTGTCTGGAATGTTTCCCCTATGTTTTCCATCCAAGTTCCTTTTTATCTTACAAGGTCCACACAAACTCTGGTTCCTTCTGTTCCTCTCTTTCATGGCACTCCAATCTTTGTCTACCAATTGAATGCAACATTTCATGAGGTAAATGTTTACCTGTTAATTATCTATTTTTTCTATTAGACCATAAACCCAAATAAAGAATGACCCAGGTCACTTGTTCAGTGGCGCACATCCACACCTAATGTACCCAACACTGAAATGCTTGATACATATGTATAGACTCAATGAGTGTGCATTACTCATCTGTCCCTCCGCTGTGTTCCCCTGGAACTGTTTACATCTTATTGTCACTATTATTACAGTCCACCTTTTATTCCAGCTAGTCGTGTACAGGTCTATCTCCTTCACTATGTTTAAGGTCCTTG